CAGTGACTGCACTGGAGTTGTTTTGTGTGTGTGTGTGTGTGTGTGGGGGGGGGGGGGGGGGGGGGGGGGGGGGGGGGGGGGGGGGGGGGTGGCGGGGGGGGGCGTTGTTTGTTTGTTTTAGCATTTTATAAGATAAATTGCAGAAATTTCAGATCCACTTAGAATAAATGGCTGGTGATACCTCTTATTTGATTTTCCAATAATGTGTCTTATTTGAAAAGTTTTGGATCTGACAGAGCAGTTTGAGGAGAGGATCTATCAGCTTTATAATTATCACATCAGGATCATCCAGGAAAAGCTCCGGGGGTTCACTCAGAAAATGGCAAAGATCAGCCATTTGAAAACAGAGCTCAACCAAGTTGGCCACAGAAGGAGACTGTGTACACAGACCTGTGCATCCGGCCTGAGGTATCCCGCCTGAGCAAACTCACTTGGGGGCTCTGCCTGAGGAACTAGGGATGGCCTAGCTGAGAGTAAATGTGAACAGAAACCAGGTAGCCAGCCCTGACCGCACAAGGCCACAGTCCCCGCAAGGCCTGTGGTGCTCTTGCCATCTCATTTGTGACCCCCTGTAACATGGTGTGTCCAAGCGGAGAAGCCAGACCACTGTCATTTCTCACCGTCATGTGATCAGCTGTGTGGTGACAGAAAGAACAAAATCCCCTGCACCCCTGCTGGTCAGAAACTGTCCTCTCCGTCCGCAGCCCTGAGCCCTGCATCCCTGGTATATGCCCCCCAGGGGCCTGGGCAGTGCTAACCTGGGTTTATTTACTACAGCAGAGCCTAAGACTCAGACGTGGGCCAGACCACCACATCCCAGTGACTCATAGCACTCAGATGTGTTCATTTTTCCTGTGGCTGAAACTACTTCTCAGGTGGTTACCAGTCAACATGGTCCCTACCACATCCCAGTGACTCAGAGCACCCAGATGTGTTCATTTCTCCTGTGACTGAAACTACTTCTCAGGTGGTTACCAGTCAATGCAGCCCAACACTGTGGGGTCAGACATGCAGCCTTCTTATTTTCCTCTCCCTTATTCTGCTTCAACGTCCAGCATAAGGCACTACCCCCGGATGGGAGGGTCGGAGGGTGCACTGTGAACCCTTGATGTAAGGGGGGGTCTGCTCAGGCAGAGACCAAGGGGGTCTCCAGGAAGTTGCTTCAATGTCTTCTCTCAATAGAAGTTTCTATTCCAAGGTAAATGGAGTCTGTTCTCATCCATAGTTAAAAGTGGATTGAGAAACTCTACAGAGAATTCCATCTTCTTTTTAAGGAACACATCTGAACAACTTCAGAAGGGAAATTCTGATATTTTAAAATCAGTGTCTGTCACTTCCCACTCCATCCGCTAGCTTCCTTCCTAAGCTCAGAACACAGCATTCCCACGGTCCAGCCAGGCCTGTCTCTGGGAAGGGGTTTGAGAGCTTTGGGCCCCTGGCTGGATGGGCTCACTTGCCAGCTATGAATGCCTGGATTCCTGTGACAGCTCTTTCCAGGATCAGGGTGCTCATGTCATGCATACCCTCGCAGGTTTTCATGGCCTCTGAGTTCCTGATGTGCTGGAACATATGATAGTCATCAGAAACCCCAGTGCCCCCCAGCATGTCTCAGGCCTGGCAGGCAACGTCCAGGCTTTTTTCATAGTTATTCCTCTTTAGCAGAGAGACCTGTCCTGGGGCTGCGTTGCCCTGATTCTTCAAGTGGCCGTGCTGCAGGCAGGCATGGAGTGGCCCAGCGTGACCTCAGTGAGCATGTTCTCCAACTTCTGAATCAGCTGGTGCCTGAACAACAGGACACCGAACTGGATCCTGTGCAGGGTGTACTGCCTGGCCACGAGCAGACACGACTCGGCAGCTCCAAGCACGCCCCACATGATACCAGATCTGGCGTTGTTCAGGTAGCCAAAGGAACCCTCCAGGCTGCCTGCACTGAGCAGCACGTCCTCCACCTCTATGCTGTCCACGATGATCATGCCCATGGCAGAGGCCCGCAGGGAGAACAACTTGCCCTCAATCTTGGAGGCCAAGAGACCCCACATCCCCTTCTCTGACAGGAAGCCCCAAAGGTAGCCATCTTCCAGCCTGCACTACAAACAGGTTGGCCACAGGCGAGGTGGTGACCAAGGTCTCATTGGATCCTGGTGGTGATTCAGGTCCCATTGGATCAGGGTGGTCCCATTGAGGGTGGAGCTCTTATTCCAGGGGTTGTGGCAGGTTCTGATCTCCATGCTGCTGGGGTCACTTCTGCAGTCGGGCTCTGTGAGCCTGAAGTAGCCCAGGAGCTCCCCCTTGGCCAGCAGGGGGCAGGTATAGGTTGCTGCAAACATAATTGCAGTTTTTGTCATTAAAAGTAATGGTAAAAAGCACAATTACTTTTGCACCAACCTAATACATCTGCCACCGCTCCTCACTGATGTAGGTGTAGATAGGGTGCATGACAAGGGAGGACTAGATACTCATCGCTGACCTGTAGCCACTGTCCACCCACTCCAGCTTTCAGACCGGAAGTGCAAAGACCACACATGAGACCCCAGTACAGCCATATCCTTTGATGGTGGGGCCTGGTACACTCAGCTCCCAGAGCTGCTATATGGTCTTCCCCGTGAAAAACTTCAATGCGATTGGTCAGCAGGATGCCAGGCATGAGTCACTGCTGGTGGTAGGTGTGGAAGGTGTCCCTGATGAGTCTCATCTGCCCTCATCTGCTCCTGCAGCACCAGCGGGTCCTGTGAGTAACACTCGGGATGCGAGGTGCCTCAGTGCCTCTGACCCTGGGCATGACCCTGTCATCCTGCTCAGGTAGCCCCTGGATTCTGGGACAGAGTCCACCTGGGGCAGGCAGACAGTTGGGCAGGGGCTGCAGATGCACAGTGCAACCAGAGTCCTTATACTTGGCCGGACACTTGGCCGGTCAGCTCTGTGTCCTCCCATCTTTCTTGGTCTTGAGACCCATGAGTGCAGAACGCGCAGGCCGGGTCTGCGGGCTCAGTAGCCCTACAGAGACGCCTCTCAGGACCATGTGAGCAGTGGGCAAGGGGGCGGAGCGAGGACTGTGACCTGGAGGAGCTGGGGTGCCAGAATGGAGTCGCTCCCAGCCTTGGCCCTGGCCCCTGCACCCTCCTGACCTGGTACCTCCCAGTTCACCACATATTTTAATCTTAAATTTTTTGGTGACAGTGGGTATTTTCCCAAAGATTTGTAAGCACCCACAGATTCCTGGCTTAAAAAGATGTGTCCGTATTCCTTCAACCTATTAATTTGTCGAATCCTTTAGCTGTCCATTCTTCACTTAGTCCTCTCGCTAGTATGATCATAACTATTCTACGAAGAAGTTGGAGGAATTTTTGGCTCTGTTTCTAACAGACTATCCACAATTTTGTTGACTGAGGTTTCAGGTGGCATTGTAAACAAGAAAGGGAATGACAGTAATTTATTGCTGCAAAATTACAGTGGGTTTGTAGTATCCTATATCACTGTAATACTGGACTATCAAAACTCACAAGGAGCAAAACATTCGCTGTGAACCACAGCACAACTCAACATGCCTACCATTCTTTCCTTTCCCATTATACCACAGACTGGGGGTTCCTAAATTGGTTGCATATCAGAATCCCCAAGGGTAGCTTAATAAAAGGAAAGATTGGCAGGTCCCACCACCAGAAAGTCTGACTTGGAGGTCTGGGGTATATCTGGGATATGTAATCAAGGGATGTGATGGAGAGTCATTGAAGTGAGGCTGGCAGCAGGCAGGGCTGCTATTTTACATGGGTGGGTAGAAAAGGCTTCTCTGAGGATTTGCAGTTGGTTTGTGCTGAGACCAGAATGTTACCAAGGTGTAGGTGCTATGAAAACCTGGGAAAAAGTGTTCCTGCAAAGGGAGTGGCAAGAGCAAAGGCAGGCACATGGGAGGTGTGTTTGTAAAGGAAATAGGGAAACAGTGTAACTGAGGGATGGGGACAGTGTCCAAACCACACCATTCCTTAAGGGCCAGCTGAAGGAGCTTGCATTTCATGACAATTGTGCTGTGCCATGATCTGATTTATTTTTTAAAAAGATCACTCTGACTGCTCCATGGAGCATGCCGTGAGTTGGAGGTACTTGGGAGTCTTGTTGAAAGCTGATGGTGGAGATGACATCTGAACTGAAATGGAAGGATGAGTGGGAGTTGGACCAGTGAAAGGGGTGGAGGGTGGAGTGTTTCAGGAAGAAGATGGGCAAGTGCAAAGCCCTGAGGTGCAAAGATTGTTCTAGAAACTGACAGAAGATAAGAGAGGAGCCACAGAGGAACATAGAGTCCAGATGATGTGGCTTCCAGGATATAATGATAAAAAAGGTGAGTACAAAACATTAGCCAGGGTGGGCTGAAGGATCCTAACATCTTTTGAATGCCTACCTTGATCTAGGCATAGGTACTTGTTTGTTATTGCTTTCAATGTAGTGCAGCTTGCTTTGATTTTTCCAAGATAATTTAGTAATTTGGATTTTGGTTTCCTGACTTTTAAATGTTGGCAAGCTAGTTTAAAAAAATGTCTTTTTAAAAACCCAATGTGAGTTAAAGAAAAAATGTCTGTGGGCTGAATTTTGCTTGTGACTTCCAGTATGTGGTCTTTGAGCAGCATGAAAACCAGCCCAAATGGTGCTTTTGTGCAAATTAGGAAAGGGTCTCCTTTGCTCTGCACAGCTTTCTAACGGAAAATTGTCATATTAAATTATATATGTCAATGACGGCTGTGATGAAAATGGCAACACTGGAGTTGCGCAATGTGCACAGTCTGCACAACTTAACAGGTTTATCTTTGAGCAAGAACAGGTGGGAAGAAGCGACGGGAAGCTATGACATGGGAAAGGGCAGTACTGTGCTGGCGTTAACTGGCACTGGATCATCAGAGCTGATTGTGCACATCTTTTCCCAACTCTGCGCTCACTAACATCATGAGAGCTTGAAATCCACCATAGTGGGAGTATTTACCATTTAGCACCCTTCAGTAGTGGAGGCTGTTCATCCTCTCTCATCCCTATGTCTAGGAACAGAGGAAAGAAAGGGAACGGGACACTTTTGTCTCCTTTTGCCTCTTCCAACCATTGCTACTCTGATTTTCAATTATCCTCCCTTTTTTTTTTTTTGACACTCCCAGTATGTTGCCCAAACCTCCTTTGCCTGACCACTGAGTAGGTTTACTGCTGATTTACCCAAATGAGAGCTTCGGTATCTCCCTCCCATGCCTTTCATCCACTCCAAGGCCCATCGACCCACAGGGATGATCCATGAAGCACTGCAGTCTCACAATCTTGTGACTTTATCAACTTCAGGGACATGTCACCTCTGCTCCACTTCAGACATGCACAACAACAGCCACATCTTGGATGACAAAGCCAACTTTGGAATAGCTGCATCTTTGAAATGTGATTATGATGACACCTCTTCTGCAGGATTGAGGTAAGGATTCAAAGACATTATGTCTGGAAAGCGCCTAGCAAATGCCTGGCTTATAATAGATGTCCAAGGAAGGTTTCTTTTCTTGCCTTTTCTTATCTTTTAAAGACAGGAACACAATATTGAAACCTGGTATTTCTTCTTCCTTTACTTTGCAGTATCACTTGAAGTTGACATAAACAGTTGATATTTAGTAAACTTTCTGCTAAGCGACATCCTTAGGAATCTGTGCTCTTTGCAGTAATCGGGAGCTACTGGCATCCAATATTATTGGCGGCAATTGTGCTAACATGCACAACACAATACCTACCCTTTTAATTACAGAACATTCTTGCAGTAAAGTGACACTGATTCTCATCTGATTAATATTTATAGTTTTTACTTTTGGCTAAATGCCAGGTATCTTCATCATGTGAATTTCTCTGGCTTCCCAGTTCTCTTTTGCTGCCTCTCTTATTAGCTTATTTGTGTGAGCATATCTTTGTTTTACCTAATCCAGGAGTGTCATGAATTCCTTAAGTCACAAACCTTCTACCCAGGAGGAGCTTTTACTGGGCAATTGTAACTAATTGTAAGTGGGTAATGAATAATTTTATGTAACTTTTAAGAAAAAGCTTGAATGCTTACATTTGAGGGAGTGTAGGGAAAGGGTCATGATGGTTTTGATCATTGCTCAAAAATTGGTATGCCAGGTTAGTAAATGAAAGGAGTATTAGATATCTTTCAAACATGCTTCACTTTTTGCTATCTTTCTATAGCTTCCATTGGCTTCTCTCAGGATCCCAAAATCCATACTCTGACATATGAACCATCATTTAAGCAGTTTGCTGCAAAGGAATTTGTGTTTTTTCATAAAGTTTTGCAAGTGTGAGAATGTGTTAGCCATAGTAACAGTTAAAAGGCTGAAGTTTATAATAAATTTCATTTAAAAAGATATCCAAACTTAGATGTACCAGAGGTAAAATTATTTTCTCTGCAGCAGGATGACCATGTATATGAAGGATTCTATTTTTGAAATCTCTTTATTTTCCATTTCACTATGAATGTTACTGATCTAATTTAAGTTCTCATTATTTTGTGCTTGGACAATTTCAATGACATTCTAACTGCTCTTCCTGACTTCTCTTTTCCTTCCAAACTCACATTCTTATGTCTGATAATGTTCAAAGATGACTCATTGCCAGTTATATTGATGTTCAAACAGTATTTCAAGGGACAATATAGAGTCCCCAGCCATGCCTGGATGGTGAGATTGTGGGCAGGGGGCCTATCCCTGCTTCTATTAGGACAGCTCTATATGGATCAGTTTTATCCTATTGGGGTTCTTACAAGATTCTGCTTAAAACAAGTGTGCTGCTGTTGAAAAACTATTGGTCCTCAGGACAAAATCCACATTCTTGGCATGGTAGTCAAATCCCTTCTTAACATACCTCCAAGACAGTGTGCCATCTTCCTTTTTTCTTCTCTATTGTTTTGTTTTGCTCACAGTTCATGGCTCACTCATCACTCCTTAAATACAGATGCCCCTAAACCTTTGTTCATACTGTGATATCTTTCCTCAAAAAAATTTTGCCCAGATTTGGTGTGGTATAATTGACAAATAAAAACTTTATACATTTGAGGTGTACAATGTAATGATTTGATATACGTCTACATTGTGAAATGATGACAATCAAGCTAATGAGGACATCCATCACCTCATATAATTACCATTTTTGGTGTGTGGTGGTGAGAACTGTCTTAGCATATTTCAAGTATGTAATACAGCACTATTAATTTTAGTCAGCATGATGTATATTAGATCACCAGAACTTACTTATCTTATAACTGAAAGTTTATCCCCTTTGACTAACATCTCCCCATTTCCCTCACTCCCCATCCTCCTCACTCCCCATCCTGTAGTAACTACCTTTCTACCCTCTGCTTGTGTGAGTTAAGACTTTTTTTAAAAATTATTTTTTATTTTAAGTTCTGGGGTACATGTGCAGGATCTGCAGGTTTGTTACATAGGTAAATGTGTGCCACGGTGGTTTGCTGCATCTATCAACCCATCACCTAGGTATTAAGCTGAGCATGCATTAGCTATTTTTCCTAATGCTGTCCCTCCCCCCACCCATCCCCCCAACAGGCTCCAGTGTGTGTTGTTTCCCTCCCTGTGTCCATGTGTTCTCATTGTTCAGCTTCCATTTATAAGTGAGAACATGCAGTGTTTTCTGTTCTAGTGTTAGTTTGCTGAGGATAATGGCTTCCAGCTCCATCCATGTACCTGCAAAGGCCATGATCTTGTTCCTTTTTATGGCTGCATAGTATTCCATGGTGTATATGTACCACATTTTCTTTATCCAGTCTGTCATTGATGGGCATTTGGGTTGAGTTAGACTTTTTAATATTCCATATATAAGTGAGATCATGCAGTGTGTGTCCTTCTGTGGCTGGTTTATTTAACCTAATGCCCTCTAGACTCATCCACATTGTCACAAGTGGGGAAATTTTCTTTTTATGTCTAATATCCCATAGTATCTATGTACCACATTTTCATATACTGTGATACTTTGCCTGGAATATCTTCAGGTACATACAATATCCATCTTATATATGTACCACATTTTCATATTCTGTGATATCTTTGCCTGGAATATCTTCCTCCTTTTGCCTATTTGGAAAATGCATTATTCATTTGTTCATTCATGCATTCATCCAACAACTATTTATTGAGCATCTGCTATGTGCCATACCCTGTTTAGGTGCCAGGGACTGCTATTATATAGCCGAATTTTTGACATCTTCTCTATTACATTGCCCAGGCAAAACTACCTGATGTCTCCTCTGTACTTCATGATACTTTGTCATATTGATAATATTTTCTAGTTGATTGCATTGTTCTGATTCTCATGTATGCTCTTCTGTTTTTAAGGTTGACATCCATATCTTATTTGTAAATATATTTTCCCTCTTATATTAGCTGATTAGATGTTCAATAAAGGAATAGTTCTCCCTCCCTCCCTCCCTCCGTCCCTCCCTCCCTCCCTCCCTACCTCCCCCCTTTCTTTTTCTTTCTTTCCTTCTTTCTTTTCTTTTTCCTTCCTTCCTTCCTTCTTTCCTTCCTTCCTTCTTCCTTCCTTCCTTCCTTTCCTTCCTTCCTTTCCTTCCTTCCTTTCCATCCTTTCCGTCCTTTCCTTCCTTCCCTTCCTTACCTCCTTTCTTCCTTTCTTCCTTTCTTTCTTTCTTTTCTTTCTTTCTTTCTTTCCAGAGTCTCGCTCTGTCACCTAGGCTGGAGTGAAGTGGCACCGTCTCGGTTCACTGCAAACTCCACCTCCCGGGTTCAAGCAATTCTCGTGCCTCAGCCTCCTGAGTAGCTGGGACTACAGCTGTGTGCCACCATGCCCGGCTAATTTTTTGTATGCTTTTTAGTAGAGACGGGTTTCACCATGTTAGCCAGGATGGTCTCGATCTCCAGACCTAGTGATCCGTCTGCCTCAGCCTCCCAAAGTGTTCAGATTACAGGCGTGAGCCACTGCGCCCAGGCTTTTCTTTCTTTTAAAATCTGTTTGCACCACAAAAGAATGAGCTCTACAGGGATGGGGATCTTTGTCTATTTTGCCTGATACATGGTAGGTACCCAAGGATTGTTTGCTGAAATTGATGAAGAGTTCTCATTTCTGTAGTGAAGCCAGCAGCTGTAGGAATGGTAACAGAGTAGACAAAGGGCATTTTCAGGTGTTTTTGGTGTGCAAAGCTGTACCTCTGTGATGTTGTTGGGATTAAGAGAGCACTGGGCGTCTCTGGCCACTAGCAGTACAGTCTTGGGCCAGTCTTACCATTTTGGGACTCGCTACCTTATCTATACATAAGAGGGTTGGACTCAGCTCATCCCTTCTGTAAGTTGGAATGATGCCATGATTCTATGTATTTAGGAGTACCTTGTAGATCGATGGGCACGTCTTCTCAGAACTCTGAACTTTAAGTTATGGAAGTCATTAATTAAAGTAAAAGGATGAGAATTTTATCTTTGGAGTAAGTTTATATGTATAAACTTTTTCCCCTTCATCTATTACGTCAAAGCTATGGATATTTTGATAGTTATCTTTTCTCTCTTACATACAAATGATAAAAAGAAAATGATACATTAGTGGAACTGTCATTTTCTGTGTGGTCACAGCAAATTAAAAAAACCGCATTTTAATCATAAAATTAGCCTGATTCATGGTGTTTCTATCTAGAAATTATAAAAGGATGAGAGAAGTTTTACTCGATGATCACGAGATTTTAGGTGGAAAAGATGAACATAGGGTCAACAGCACAAACTTTTTTTTTTTTTTTTAAAGAAAGAAATGCAGAAAATGGGTTTGAATTGCTAAGTTAAGTCAGAGAAAGGCTGTTGGCTTCCCAAGAGTTGCTAGACCTTTGAATGAGATCTAACAGGACTCAGAGTCTTTAAAAACAAGCAGGGTTTTTTTTTTTTCTTTCCTGGCTAGAAATATAATATTTTAGATGTGGGCGTGTGTGTGTGGGGGTGTCCATCCTGGGACTCAGGTGTGAATGTCCACTTTCTGCTGGTCCTGTGATTCTGCAGAAGAGTGTCCAGTAATTAGGTAAGCCAGAAAAAATATTTATATATTACGAATTGTGATGAAGACTTAACTCTTTGGTTCTGTGCAGTCTATGGATAGCTTATGGGCAGGAATTAGGGGGTGTTAACCAGCCCTTTGTTGAAGTGTGTGGACTCCTCAGGCAGATGAGAACGACCTTTGTTGGTGCAGTTAAATGTCCTTGACCCGCCGGAGGTAGGGATAGAGATTGGGAAGAGCAGAGAGTAAAATTTCTCGAAAGTTTCTAAACCAAATAGCATGACTTTGGATTAAAAGTGTCCCCTAATGGCCACTGTAGTCTACAGCCTCGCTCTGCCCCCTGCTGTTGGCTGCATTACTCCTGGATGCGCTTCTCCTCTGTTCAAAATCGTTTACAATTCCAGGAAGATGAGTAGGTGGAAGGGGGAATTACAG